CGAAGCCTTCATTGCCTGGATCCACATCAAGGCTCTGCGGGTGTTTGTGGAGTCCGTGCTCAGGTGCGTGGAGGAGACGCCTGGCCTTGGGGGGGGGGGGGAGCAGCCAGCTCCGGGGGCCCCTTCCAGCCCCCCTGGTCTCTTCTGGGACATGGCCAGGCCCTCCCGCCCTCTCCCCAGCTCCTCCTGCAACCTGCTAAGGATTTCCCGGTCACGTGAGCCTTCCCTCTGCCCCGCGGGCCTGGCGACCCCTGGAGGGAGCATAGCACAGTCTCAGTCCTTGACCTCCGAGGCCCAAGGCGGCACAAAAACGAAAACCTGACCCAAACCGAACTAATCACAAGAATTTTGCCTTCTTTGTTTCTTAACAAAAGTGAAAAAAAGTCACTGTGGAAAGTTCGGGAAGTACGGGTAAGCACAAACAGTGAATAAAAATCACCTGTCATTTTAACGCCCGGAGAAAACACTGCTGGCTGGCGTGCAGGTGTGAACTCCTTGAGGAGCTTTTTTTCCTTTGTGTTTTGCCTTTTTTTCATTCTAGTTTACAGATCTACCTATTTTTTGACTGCATTTTTGTCAAAATGGAATAGAGTATTTTTTGAGACCTGCTTTTCCGCCGCCTTTTGAATATGTCAAGTGTCATGAGCTATGAGGGGTGGGGATCTTGGTAGCATCACACACAGCTGGCTGTACCCTTTTTTTCTGGAAGCTTCCATCCCTGCTTCTTGGCCTGCTCTGGCCCTCCAACCCTCTGAAGTGCTCTCCCCTGCCCCTTCCCTGCCTGCAAGCCAGGTGGTCCCCAGATCCCTTCCCAGCCATCCACCCGGAGGCCTGTCCCCTATGTCCCCTTTCCTGTCTGTGCCTCCTACCTCTTCCTGTCTGCCTCTCACCTAACCCTGGCCTTTCCTGGACGTCTGGCTCATCTTCCCCGCCCCGGACCCCCCGACTAAGCCCTTCCTCCGGCTGCCCCGTTCATGCCAGTGGCCTCACGTCCTTCCTGTTACCAGACCCCAAACCTCCAGGTGGGCTCAGATGCCTCTGCTCCCTCATCTTCACTTCCTGTGCCCCCCTTCCCGCCCTCTTCCACCTCGCCGGCTCCTGCCACAGGCTCTCACCTGGGTCTCTGCCTCCCATTCATCCTCCACGTGGCTGTCAGCTGTGGTTTTGTCCAAACACAGAGGAGGTCTGACCGTGGCTCCTCCTGTGGTCATTCCCCCCCCCCACACACACACCCATCTCAGAGGCCTGGAATGGTATGGGTTGTGGCACTGGTTGTAGGGCCTAGTCAAGCTAGCCTGGAGTGTTCCAGCCATGTGTAGTGTAGACGGGTCCAAGACTGACCCTGCTTGCCTTGAAAGTCAGTGGTCCTCAGGCCCACTATGGTGTAGACGCCCATTTGCTGGAGAGCTAGAGATGGATGTCCCTAAGCTGGACACAACTGGGTATTTCTCCTAAAAGTGTACGTGAAAATAATTCTTTACAAGACTATCAGTGTATGACTTTTTATTTTCTTACTGTGTATGTTTCCTGAATACAGTTGTACATATGAACACTGTTTAAAAAATTCAAGTTCAGAAATATGTACTGTGGAAGAAGTTCCCAGCCCCCACTGCCTATAGATAATCACGGTTAATGGTTTCAAGACTCTTCTCTTCCCCCCAAATGGGATCCTTTAAGGTTCTGCAGCTGTTTTCATCTGCTGTGAATCACAGTCTCTTCTGTGCCTGTGAAGCTACCTGATCCTTTTTTAATCACTTTTTCATATTCTATCCTGAGGACAGATCATGATCCAGGGAAGTCGATGTTGAACGAACACGTTTGTTGGAGCGCACAGCCGGTGAAGTTCACCTGCTTGCCTGTTCCTTTGACCCCTGCTGGGCTTTGCCCCGCCCCCCAGTCGGCACCTGGGTGCTGCCTTCCTCCCTTCCTCTTCTCCAAGCTGTTTTGTTTGTACTTCCAGCCTATTGGGGGAGGGGGGGCGGCAGGAGTGAGGGGTTGACTTGCTCTCTATCTCCATCACCCAGCCTAGAGTCAGAGTAGATGCAAAATGTTCGTGGACTGCATAAAATCAAAGGGAAGTGGACTCAGCCGTAGGTTGAGGGAGAGCTGGCTGACCTCGGGGCGCAGTGACCCAGGGGCTGCCGTCAGCTGGGATGCAGAGTGGGGGAGGCTAGCGAGTCTGGATCTCAGGAGAGTCGTGGTGGGGATCCGGGGTTGAGGAATCCTAATGGTGGCTGTGTGGCTGCGCTCGTTTAGGGAGAGGCCATCAGAGGGAAAGTACTGAGAGGGCACCTCGGGGAACCCCAACCTTTAGAGTGGAGGCAGGGAAACCCATGAGGAAGTCAGGGGCAGGAGGAGGGAGTGGCTGACGAGTCAGAGGGAGCAGAAGCTTAAGGACTCATGTGTCCCTGGGAATGGGTCATGAGGTCACTGGTGGGACAAGCTCCAGTGTGGTGGCCGGATGACTGGGTGACATGGGACACTGGATACTCTCAAGTTTGGAACAAGAGCCCTAGGGGGCTGAGGATGGTTCTTTAAATCAGGGCAAGATGGGGAGAGGCTACAGGGAAGTGGCAGCGGCCGAGAATGCCGGCACCCCTGCAGCACAGGGGTCTCGTTATGGGGGCCGCCTGTGAGAGCTCCCCACCAGGTGACCTCGGCGGTCAGGGAGGAGGAGGGGCCTCTCCTGAGCCGTGCAGGAAGGAGCAGCGTGGGGGGCAGCCTCGGGGAGAATGAGCATTGACCCGGCTATTCCCAGAGGGCATTTTCTGAGCAAAACAGAGAAGGCTTTCGTTTACATTGATCCAGAGGGAGGGTTAGCAGGGAAAGGGCTGGAAGGATCTGGAAAGAATGTGGGAAGCCCGGAAGGCAAGAGAGTGGGCTGAAAACGGGGCCGAGGGCTTGGAGGCTTGAGGGGGGCGAGGGGCTTTCAGTCAGTCAACATTCACAGTGTTGAGGGAGGGCCCGCTGCTCTCCAGGTCTGGGGACACAGTAGACCCTGCACACAACAGACCCGTGCCTCTGCCCCAAAGGACTCACGGGCTGGGAAAGACAGGAGAGCTCAGACACAGGTGTCCTCATTCGGGAGGAGAAGTGACCTCCCAGGGCAACCTGGCAATGACTGGTGGAATGACCAGGCTGGACGACGGAGCAGGGGTGGCCCGTGGTCTGGGAGCTGGAATGCCGTCCTTAACATCCGCGTGGCCTGGGGGATGCTCAGCGGGTGGAGAGAAGGGTGTTGGTGAAGCCGAGGGTGTGGAGTGGGTTTCTGGAAATCACTGAGATTTGCAGTAGGGAGTCAGGAGGGGCCTGATCCCTCAGGTAAGATGGCCATGCCCCCCACCCACCGCTCCCCGCCCGCTCACTTCCCCAGGGAGCCGGGAGATGAGGCCATCAGCTGGGCCACCCCCCTCGCCGTGACCAGGCCACGTGTTGCTGTCCCGGTCTGCAACTGCCAGCTGCTCTGCTCTTGCCTCCTGGAAAAACGATGTAGGCAGGGCTTAGAAATCGGGGTTCTGCTGGCCCAGCACCCTTAAAACACACGGGACTAAGTAGGTGTTAGGCTTGGCTTGTAGCGCAGGCAGCAAGTAGCAAGTGCGGTCACAGCCTCCTTCACCTACACTTTCCTTCCCGCAGATGCACCAGACCTCAGTGCTGCCGCGCACGCCGCACCAGTAACGGCCCGTTAGCCTGTTCTCGCCCGTTCCTCTCCAGAGAAATCGTTGTTAGTCTCACCTGACCCTAGACGTTTCATTCAACTGAGTTTTATTTTCTTAAGCCGTGTCAGCTGAAGCTTTTTTTTTTCTCACTAGAACTTCTTCTATTTCACGTTAGGGTTCTTTGAGCCCCGTTTGCACCCGGAGTAACTTATGTGCACATTTTGTCTGTCTGGGAAGGTATGGACTACCGGTGAATTTCCAGGCCGTGCTCCTCCAGCCGCACAAGAAGTCCTCCACCAAACGTTTGAGAGAAGTTCTGAACTCTGTCTTCAGACATCTGGATCAAGTGGCGGCGGCAAGTGTACTGGATGTAGGTATAAAATCCAGAAATAGCTGGGTTTCTACACAGAGGTCACCTCCCGACGCGGGAGGCACTGCCCAGGACCCGAAACCGCCTGTTAGAAGGGCTACGTTTCACAAATGCGGAAGCGTAACAAGAGGCTGTGTGTGTGCATGTGCGTGTGTGTGGGGGTGGGGGGCTGCACTGTGCGGAGCAGGAGATGCTGTCAGGGCCTCCTCGCAAGCCTAAAGACGGGACAGCGAGTTGGCTTTTGTGTCTAGAGCAGCGCCGCGTGTTCTTCCATAGGCGTCCGTGGAGATCCCGGGCCTGCAGCTCAGCAGCCACGACTACTTCCCCTACGTCTACTTCCACATCGACCTCGGCCTGCTCGACTAGGAGCCGCGGGCGCCACGCCACCTTCCCGTGCGCAGGGACCGCCACCGCCTCCTTCCCTTGGCCGGAGGATCCTATGGGATTTAGATCTTTAGAGAAATTGCTCACAAAAGTTAGTTACAGTTGTATTTATTATTTTTTTTAAGTTACAATAAAGAAATGCTCAGTCCTTTGAATGGCCTTTTGTATTCCAACATAATTCAGGACCAGACTTGACGGAAGTGGGGACTGCCTGGACACTGGTCACCTGCTCCTGTACTGTGTGTCTTAATGGAGCTCCTGGGGGGGGGACTCAGGAAGAACATTAAAAATTGGGAGCTGGCGGGATAAGCTGCCGTACTGCCTGACGGTCAGCGGGGATGGGACGGCCCAGAGACGAAACACCGAGCCTGAGACGCAGTTCTCAACGGACAACCCGTGATGTTTCATCCTTTCTATAAACTCGCTTTCCGTCCCACATATCACAGAGCGCACCTGGCCTCGCGGGACACACACACAAGCCGTATCGTGGCGGGTGTCCAGATGGCGTCCTCCGAATCACAAGTTTATAGCGAGCGGCAGCCCTTCTTAATAGTGATTTCCTGGCTTAATTTACTGAATTTATGATGTGGACACTAATTTCATACGTTTATTGACATTGTCCAAAATATTATTTTATTTTTTAATGGAAAAAAGCCATTAATATTCAAATGAAAGAATCACATTAAAAAACTTATATATAAGAAACAGCCTCCAAGAACATTCAAGCAGCCATCAGAGGGAGGGAAGAATATTTCAACAGCCTGTCGGTTTCCTTCACGATATTACTTGACAGAATACAACCCAATTCACTGGCTACAACAATTCATAGAATTTTTCACTGTTTTCTTGAGATGCAAAAGTTCACTGTTGCAGTGTTTTCAAATGACCAATCAAGTGCTACTTCTTGGTGAAAAAGGCCACTGGCAGATTCATCGGATTGTAAAGAATGCTTCTGCACTGCTGGGGAAACCTGCTCCCAAGAAAAGAAAACTGAAGTCTGTGCCACGCCTCTCACAGCTCATCTTTTTCTAAATCGCCCAGCTTCATATCACTGAGGTCAATGTCGTCCAGCTCCACGTCGCTGAGGTCAATGTCGTCTTCCATGGGAAGCTGGGAAAGAAGGCGTGCGTTAGGCCCTGCAGGCTGGGCTGCACAACAGCGGGCAGGGCAGCAGGGGGCGCTCGCGGGCTCACGGCGGATGAGCAAGGTCGTTTCTAGAGCCGCCCCAGGTCACAGCCGGCTCTGCCCTAACCCCGGCTCCCGCTTTTGGCTTTGCCTATTGTTCTACAGACAGAAAAGCCAAGAACTCAGGTGAGGCATGACTTTACAGTATCACCTACCTCTTCAACACCGACAGCTATGGGGGAGGGGGAGGAGTGGGTGTGGGGGGAGCAGGAGGGCGGGGACCCGCACGCACTAATTCTGTTAGTTAAAATTCTGTGCTTCAAAGTAAATGGATCCCGGGTGAAATGTTCCGTTTAGGGGTCATAATCAGGAAAAACCTCGTTCCTGAAATTTATCTGGACTGTTACTGTCAAGACTATCCACGGTCACGCAGCTCTGAAAGGCTCTCAAGGTTATCACATTTGTGACCTCACGCGGAGGATGGAAAGGCCGTGGGGCCGGGGAGAGTGGAGAGAGGCCGGACAAGCACACGGCCTCCAGGCCTGGGGACTCACCTCGCCATCCTTGCCGTCCCAAGGCTCCCTGGTGCTGATGGCGGGGAAGGCCCCACCTCCCACAGGTGCTGTAGATCCGCGCCCAAAAGAGAGCTCCCTGAGGGGACAATGACCAAAGCAAGGACATACTGATGAGGACACAATGTGTTAAGTAATGACTTGCCTAAGTGTATGCACACACATTTCTCAGCTCTTGCGCCTGAACAGTGCTATCTGTTCAACAGCGTAAACAGGCATGAAATGACTAAGGTCTTGGCATCAGAGAAAGCCAGTTACTACCAATAATTAAGAAAAATAAACTTATTTTGCTAGAATACAAATTGAAGTACGCGAAAGGTATCAACATTAATGGAGAACACAGGCAAAACGTTACGTGGACCGAACTGTGGAGTAACCCCAGGGACGCTTTACGAAAGATGGCGTCTTAAAACGGAGCCTCAACTCCCTCCCCCAGACTCGCAGCGCGTCGCAGCAGCCCACACGCAGATGGTGGCAGTCCTCCCGCCTCAAGCTTTAAGACGGAGGAGCTCTATGGTGACGGCACGTGAGGCCTGGACTCCGACCAATTCTGATAAACAGCATCTCACCAGAAAGATCGAGAGGCCATGGCTAGACGGGGAGCAAGGCTGCTTTAAAAAGAGCCTCCAGATGCCCTCTGGGGAAGGCTGCTTGGACTACAGGCAAGAGAGGAAAGCAGCCGGGAGTGGCAGTGTCCCGCGCGGGTGTGACCGTTACTCAGCACGGTGGGAAAACTGGGGAACCCTATCGGCCACTCCGCAGTTGTTACAATGTGTTCGCAGAGGTCCCACATGGGAGGATTCTTCTCCCCAGGGCACATGTGACGATGTCTGGAGACATTTTGATGACCACAACTATGTGTGTGTGCGGAGAGCGGGCGACCGGCACCCAGAGGACGGGTACTAAGCATCTGTAAGGCGGGACAAAGCTCTGCCCCGGAATGTCACGAGTGCCAACGCCCAGAAACCCTGACGTGTGAAGAGGAGTTGTGTCCAGAAAGCCGCTGTCCCCGCGCTCTGAAAGCCTGCTACCACCACTCGCTGAACGGGGCATGTCACCCAGGGCAGGACGCGTGTGCGGGGTGAGGAGGTGGCGAGTGCAGCGAGTCAGCCACGGGTCTGTCTCTCGTCTGACAGCAACACGAGAACGGCTCCATTTGCCGGGAGGGGGCGCAGGCCACCCCAAGCTCTGGCCGCCGTCGCAGGAAAGCCAGCGGCTGTACTTCCTACTGGTCTGGGGCCCGCAATCAGGTTCTTCGTCATCCCCGAGCATCAGTCTCTTCAGGAAAAAGCCAAGACCTATGGAGCTGGTGCTCAGAAGCCACTGTCCCACCCAGTGTCACAGCAGCGACAGAAGGACTAACGGACGATGCCAAGCCCCCTTTAAAGAGGAACAAAGTCCTTGAGCCGTCAACACAGGGCCCAACGCGGGGCTCGAACCCACCAACCGTGAGATCATGACCTGAGCCGAAGTCGGACACTTAACTGCCTGAGCCACCCAGGCGCCCAAACAGGAACAAAATTTTAAGGGAACTGTGCCTGAAGGGTGCAGTTCACCTGTTAAAAACAAAACCAAAACCTAAGCGCTCTCGGGGCTCAGAGCCGCCCCTCCCCTGCGCCACCGCCCCTCCCCTGCGCAGCCACCCGTCGCAGGGCTAACCGCTAACCCCTCTTCTCACAGAGCCCGAGAAGAGCTGCTCCCTCAAACAATGAACTTCTGGGAAACTCCAGTCCCTTCTTCACTTGTGGCTGCATCGTGCACGGTGCCACACGGGAATTTTCGGCGGCACTCCGGGAACGAGCTCCCGGGGAAGCGCAGGCGGGCCCCTCCAAGCGTCAGTTTCAGCCTCAGCCTCGTCGTGACTAACAAGCGGCCCGACGGCGCTGCCCTCTCCCGGGCTCTGCGCTGGCTCAGGCTGCACAGGCCTGTGGTGTCCCTGTGCTGGGGGGGGGGGGGCGGGCTGCAGCCTCCTCGCGGGTGACAAGCGCCGCACGCATCAGTCTCCGCTGCCAACAGGCGCACGGAACTAGATGCAGTCCGCTGTCCCGTACTCTGCCCCCTTTCCAGTCACTGCCGCGGACCCTCCTCTGCTGGTAACGCGCTGGGTTTGGGGGTTTTCTGCTGCCCCTAAGGCACATAGTTTGAGGACCAGCGGCCCGAATGATCCCAAGCACAAAAGCAATGGTCACAAGCTGACACTCTGCTACTGCTCCGTACCTGTCCCACGCACTCCCTACCTCCTCTGCACGAAAAAGCAAAAAACAACAAACCAGGAAAGGGAAACTAGCTGAAACAAACGTTTAGAAAACCAAAGCTGGGGGCAGACCTGTCATTTCCAGTGAGCGAGTGCAAAGGCTCGGCCTCACTGGGACTTGTCACCCTCAAACATTTCTTACAACTGTGACACGGGAGTCAGCTGTTGAAAGAGGACACTTTAGAAGCACAGCTGACCCTGAACGCGGGGTGAACTTGAACAAGTCCACTTGCAGATTTTACAGCACAGTAATGGGAGTGCTTTTTCTCTTACCGTTTTCTCAGTAACATTTTCTTTGCCCGGACTTGCTCTGCTGTAAGCATACAGTATATAACACACACAAGGTGTATTCACTATTTACCAAGAGCTTACGGTCGGCCAGGCCCTACAGTGGTAAGGAGATCAGGTCTGCGTAAGAGAGATACACCTCCGTGACGCTCATGGTTATGAGGAAGCGGTATTAACCGAATTACCACACATGTGAGAAACAGCATGGTGTCACTGCCTCGTATTTACCTGAAAGATGATCAAGTCGATTTTCGGAGAAGTTGAATAGCCGGGCGAGATAGCTCTATACATTGGATTTTGAGTTTCAGAACCTATCATGTTGTTTGCACGTTGCTGGAATCACTTCAGACATACACTGTCTACAGCTAATGGCCAGAAATGGAAGCCGCACTAGCTGCGGGGGGGGGCTGCTACCAGCCCGGATAAGACTTCTGTGAGAATCAGAAAGAGCTCATAAAATGGCAAGGTAGCCCTTCCTCCATAGAATACTTCCACAGAAAAGAGAACAAAATCACAAAAAGATGATTTAGAAGTCAAACCCCTAATTCCGCAGAAAGCCAAATGCAAAATAATTCCATGTATTGCCTGGTCTATAGAAACCTAGTTTCAAACTGAAACCACACAGAACCAAGCCACAACACAGAAACAACTCAAGAAAGCAGGAGATTACCTGAGAAACTCGTTAATGCCTTGCTCGCTGAAAGATCCTTTCAGAAGAGCAAATTTCATCTTGCGGGCATTAATGGCCGCCATGGCAGGGTACCCAAACCCTCCAATCCCCAGCGCCGTTTCAAGTTCAGACTGGGCTCCAGCTTCTGTCCACAGCCACCTAGAAAAACAGGCTTTAGGGTCAAGATCCCTTTCAAATTAGTTAGAATCTAATTAGCAGATATCAAGAAAAACAAAGACTACACTCCCAATAGTTTTATGGAATGAAACGGGTGTAAGAACAGAAATAAAAGACAAAAATAGGGTAGTCTAGATGTGCTCTTAACGACACTTCCTGTTTTATGTTCCCTAAACTCTACCTCCAGAAGTCTCCCAGATCTGTACATAGTTTTCCTTCCGGCCTCCAAAATACTGTCCACTACACCTGAGTTTTCTGTCTCTCTCTTTTGAGAGAGAGAGAGACAGAGTGTGAGTTGGGGAGGGGCAGAGAGAGGGAGAGAGAGAGAGAATCGGAAGCAGGCTCTGGGTCCTGAGAAGTCAGCACAGAGCCCCAAAGTGGGACTGGAACTCATTAACTGTGAGACATGACCTGACCCGAAGTTGGACGTTTAACTGACTGAGTCACCCAGGCACCCCATGTTAATTCTTTTTTAAAATACATGGTAGAAATCTCTAGTCAAACAGTCTGGGCCTGAAGATTTTGAGGGTGGGATATTTTTAATAACAAATTTTATTTTTTAATGTTTGTTTATTTTTGAGAAAGAGACAGAGCATGAGCGGGGGAGGGACAGAGAGAGAGGGAGACACAGAATCTGAAGCAGGATCCAGGCTCTGAGCTGTCAGCACAGAGCCCAACGCGGGGCTCCAACCCACAGACCATGAGATCATGACCTGAGCTGAAGTCAGATGCTTAATGGCCTGAGGTGCCCTGAACCAGATACTTTCAAGAGTGCTCTGCTCTGCTCTCCAAATCGTATGGAGAAACTAAGTTCAGTAACTTACCCCCACATTTTCTTTTTGTATTTGTCTGCCAACTTAAGGAGAACTTCTAAATAAGAATTTCTGCCAGCAGCTCCTGATTTAAACAGACAAAAGTTTTAAAGGTAAAAATTAAAGAACCCGGAACACCCCTCAGCTGCGAGCATGCTCAGGGCAGGCCACCCGGGCAGCACGGAGAAGGGCCCGCTCGCCGTACCGGTGTCGAGAATGTGGGGCAGCACCGCCACGACGCACAGCTGGTGCTCCTCGCAGCTCCTCCTGGCGACGTCCTCGTTGACGATCTGTGGGCCCAGAACACAAGGGGTGGTCGGAAGGCCACTGACACAAACAAAACCCAGAGGGAAGCCTGACAGCCTGCTCTCGGCCTCATCACATTCGATGAAGAGCAAAGCCGTGCAACGTGCCGTGACGCCCGGGTCTGTCCCCAGGCCCGTCCCCAGTGCTGGCGCGGCAGCTGCCGACGTGCGCGGTCTCCGAAAGCAGACAGCCTCGGCGGAGCCTGGCCCTGACCATCACCTAGTTAGACAGGCAGACGTGTGTTCTGTATTTACAGGAACTTGAGGCTCTCCATGCCTCTGCTTCCTCACGTGCAATGAGAAAAAAGCAGTATTTACGTCTAGGCATTCACGTGAGGACTGAAAGGGAAAAATACACGTAAAAGGAGCAGAGTGATGCGGTCACACTGTCACACGGCCGCGTGCCCCGCACACAGCAGCTGTGGCTTAGAGAATGGTGAGAGAGTGGCCGGACGCATTCTGTTTTTACACAGCTTGGCGCACTTGTACTCAGTGTAATGATTTCATTACTAAAATTATGAAAAGCACCAGTTTATCAGACAGGTTTTCCCCACTGGCAAGTATAATAACGCTCTAAAGACAGCACTTTAAGAGAAGGGAAAAGTCCATCTGAAAGGACCGGAGGGGTGTCATCACTGTGTTAGCGCCTCCACCATCAGACCCGGGACGTGTGTGAAGCGGCTCACCTCCAGCAGCTCAGGAGGCGGGGCGTTGTCAGAAAACAAGTCCAGGGCCCGGGAGACGATGTCAGATCGCGTCCGCCCCCCATCGTAATCCACAGGGGACTCCCCCTTCTGAAATATCTTGATTGTAGGAAATCCCCTGATCTATTAAAAGAGACAAAAGCACAAAATCAAATGAACATTTAATAAGAAATAAGATGATACTTTACGGGCCCTAAGGCTGCATTACAGGTAACTGAATAGAACACTATTCCGAGCCCGCATCAGTGATCAGGGATGATACAGGTCTGCTAATCAGGCAGTTTTAACAGCCTGCCTCCTGGGCTTCGCCAAGTCTAGTCAAACCTCACATACATACTTAGCACAACATATCTGCTCTAGAACAAACTGACCAACTTCAAAAGCCCTACTAGTGGCTTGTAAGGGCCTGAGCAAGCTGAAGATTTACACGCAGCACCCAGCGGAAGTAGTGAGATAGAAGGAACAAAAAAAAAAGAGATAGTCCTGAGTTCAAGACTTGTTAGTTTTAACAATGAAGTAATTTAGTTTCATTACAAAAGGGCCAACCGTCTGCCCTCCTGCCGCCCGGGGAAGCCCAGATATGGGAACAGCCAAAGACACGGTGCCTTCCACAGACGCCTGCCGTCTGGACGCACTCACCCCGTACCGGCTGGCCAGGACCTGGTTCACCGTGGCGTCCACCGCTGCCAGCTTCACTTTGCCTTTGGTTTGCTCCTTCACCTCCGTGGCTGCAGCGGCCCATTCTGGCTCGAGACTATGGAAAAACATTTGCACTTTAAAAGCGCGTTTTAACTCTCAGCACCGACACTTTAGCCGACATGCATTTCTGCCCAACCCGATTACACTGCACTCGGAAACCACAGGGCGTAGCTTCACTTACAGTGCGATGCTGTCCTTTCACATCCACTTCCCAGGTCTCTGTCACCCCTCCCCAACGCGGGACGCCAGGTCCCTATTAACCTTTGAAGCTATGACAGAAGAAACTCGGCACCGAGGCCAGTGTTTCACATTCACTCCGCGTCAGTCTTCCCAGAGGGCTTGGGGATCACGTACTGTCTGGGTCGGCTTCTCCAGAGCGAGCCAGGTGAGCACATCCAAAGCACTGGGACTCAAAGTACTTGGTAAAAAGCCCTTACTTTTTGCAGTGTCCACACCAAGGAGCATAAAATTCAACCATCCAAACGTCTTCACTATCAAGGACATTCTTATCGAAGCTGTCGTCTGTCAGCTCAATTACATCCTTCTTACTCGAACTTTCACTTCTACCCTGTCGCATGTGACACGAAACATTAAATTACACTTGGCCAGAAAGAACACTATTCGTGTTCTAAATAGATAATATACAATAATCTCTTCCACACTTAGCGGAGTTTGGAGTTTTTGTTTCTAGTGAAAACTATTTTACTCCAATTGGGGTCATTTTTTAATATTACTTTGACTTGTCAATCACGGTGTACTTTCAATTAAGAGCACCTTCAGTATAAGCCATGAATGTACCTGAATTCTCTCACCTGCTCTTTTGTTAAAAGAACCCTCCACATGGCTCCCCCCCAAAACTACTACTCTAATTCCGACTGTGCACAGCTGCTCGTTTATCCCAGGATGTTAAACGTGCCCACAGTTACCACCTTTCCACAGAGAAAGTCTCTACCATTCAAGAGAGTTAAAACTAACATTTAGTTCTTTATCTTCAAAGAACTTCCCTGAGTACTAAACCTAAGAAGCAGTCAGTTTCCTTATGCTGCTTTCTGAGGCCTGGGCCCACAGCCAAGTGCACGGAATCTTGGGGTAAATTCTACATCTGTATAGAGAAGCTACTTTTACCGGTCTCTGTAAGGGTGAAGGGCTATTTTACCTTTATGCGTAAGCATTTTATGCCTTTTCATAAGAACATTTGGTTAAACCTCACATTTCATTATGTGGGCATCCAAAATCCCAATCCATGGAACAGGAATTTCTTTCTCTTCTTCCCTGTCCACTGAGACTGAATTCTCCAGAATTTCAAGCTGATTGCCAGACATAGGCCAAGAGGTCGTTCAAACTTCATCTCTTGTTGCCCCAAGCTAACCTTGTCTCTCCCTCCCCACTTGGGAGCTACAAAAGCCAAGGGTCCTAGAGCCTGGCTTCTCTGTCTGAGGCGCATTCTCTGTCTACAGCCTGAACTCTTCCCCTTCAGTGCTGGGCAGAGGAGGCCCATCTTGTGGCCTGCTTCTTGGCCTGCAGAGGTGGGCAAGATGCTCTGGGACTAGTGACTGCTGAGGAGGCCCATAAACAGGCTGGGTGGCTGATTCCATCTGGCATCAGCTGATGCAACATTGTAATATTTTTTAACTGCAAGTTCACTTATTTAAAACATTAGTAGTAACTAAAAACAAAAACAAAAACCCTATCCTCTACGGAGAGTCCACCCTGTGGTGTCAAAATCATCACACACACTCAAGGCTGACATCACAGAGCCTTACTTGTTTTCCAGAACCATATCCACCACTCCGCCCCCCAAGGCGATCCTTCACGAGCTGGCGCAGAGCACTGAGAGCAGCATCTACAATGGCTTCGCCGGTTCTGCCCCCTACAGAAGACAAAGGACAGCCACATGAGCAGGCGGTGGGGATTGTGCGCCTATACGTCACAACCTAAGGATGTGGCCCTTTACACATCTGTCAGCTTTAGCTGATATCTGAACAGACCCAACAACATGGGTATTTAACACGGAGTCGAGTTCTCCCCCCAATACGTGTCGCACTAGACTTTTCTCTTGGGAACCAAATCCTCTCGTTCAGTTTTAGGTTATTAAACACAAACGTCCTGTTCACCTAATACCATCTGCAAAGAAGAGTAATTCGCAATGTTTACTGAACGTGTAACATGCACGCAGATGAGTAAGAAGCCTATTATCTAGTTAAAAAAGTAAGGGGCACCTCTAAATCTGAATTACTAATTGAGGAAAATAGAAGAAATGCTCTACTTATTTTTGAGAGAGAAAAAGAGACAGACAGACAAAGCGTGAGCAGGGGACAGGCTGAGAGGGAGACACAGAATCCAAAGCAGGTTCCAGGCTCCGAGCTGTCAGCACGGAGCCCGACGCACGGCCCAAACTCCTAGACAGCGAAACAATGACCAGAGCCAAAGTCGGATGCTGAACCAACTACGCCACCCAGGCGCCCCAGAAGAAACTATTTCTATGATGAAGAGCAGAAAAAACTGTGGGAAATGTAGGATATGAAAGGTCTGAAGCAGGTCTGAAGCCGAGTAACTGGAAAGTAATCCAGGCCTTACAAAACTGTATATTTTGGGCTTTTTTAGGTTCTTTAGCTGAATCCACTCCTAATCTAAGAAATCTAAGAAATAACAAACCCTGTACTGAAACTCAATGACAAGAGCCTTTGGAGGTTTCACCAAAAACTATATACTCGAGAAAAGGTCAAGGGGCTATTAACTGACTCAGAAATGTATGAATAATATGGGCCACGAAGCTGTCTCTAGAATTCAAAGGCAAAACTCTAATAAAATCTCTCTAGAAAAATCCACATATTTTTAAAATAGTTTTTTATCAAACTGCCAAGGAAGAGAGAAAAACATCTGGGAACACTTTCCGACCTGATATTACAAAGAAGACAGAATACAGCAACACTCAGAACACGCTCGGATCGTGTGGGGCCACAGCCCTGGCTGACACCACCACGTGTGTGTCACTTCCCAATACAGAAGGGCAAGGGCTCCTCCCTCCGCACCAGGGCCCTTCAACCAGTCTCCTCGGAAATCTCCCAAATCAAGACATGTAGTGGGAGGGCGCCTGGGGGGCTCAGTCGGCTGAGTGCCCGACTCCTGATTCTGGCTCAGGTCATGATCTCACTGTTTGTGGAAATGAGCCAGCAAGGGGCCTTGCCTGGGATTCTCTCTCTCTCTCTGCCCCCTCCCCACTTGCACACACTCTCTCTCCCTCTCAAAATAAAGAAAACAAACGTACTAGGAAAAGAGAGGGCTTTCACACGCTAGACCAAGAGGTGGCAAACTGTCTGTAAAGGGCTGAACAGTAACGACTCTCAGCTGTGCAAGCCACCCTGTCTGTCACAGCTGCTCAGCTCTGCCACTTCGGTGCGACAGCAGCTACACACGGTATGCAAATAGGTGTGACTGTTTTGAAAAATTTTATTTACAAAAACAAACAGGCCCTTGCTCCTATTTTTTACCTACTTGCTCAAATTAACATTCCAACCAGGGGAACAGAGTAGTTAGGAAAAGTCCTTACCCTGATAATCTTCTGGTCTGTTTTTGTTGGATCCAAAAATCTTAATGGTGGGGAATCCCTGAACACCATATTGACCTCCTAGGGACTGGTGTTTATCTGCATCCACAGCACCAACTTTTACAATGTCCTGTGAAAATATAAAAGTATTACCGACTTTTCCTTTCCACTGGAGCAGATTCCACAGAAAGCCATCCTCTGACTCATGTAGACTCCAAGATAATAAAGGGCAAGGTTAGGTTTACAAACAGGAGCAATGAGGCCTGTAGCCCCGGAAGTCATGCCTACACGGGACAACAGGGGAAGCGCGCGGAACTCCGCAGCACCAAGAATTAGAGCGACTAGGACGACTTAGGTCATTAATCTGGAAAACGGAATTAGTAAAAATAGACAACGTAAAAATTACACGTATATTATCTCCCTGCATGATTTTGGCCCTAGAACAAAACTTTTGAGCTTCAATATGTAAATTAACTTCCTGTGGTACATGAAGCCCAGGTGCCTTCTTACTTATTATACGCACACAGGCGAGAGGGGGCCTCTCAGAAACTTACTTTTAGCGCAGTTGCTGCTTTCTTCCATTCTGGTGTTAACCTCTGGCAGTGACCACACCTTTTAAAAGATGAAAGCACAAATAAGGCAACGGTTAAAATCTCTGATCCCCAATTCAGAAATACTCCCCCAACACTCTACTGAGCACGGGGTGGGTGCCTGCAGGAAGTACATGCGCCAATAAAACATGATCAGTGATGGGAGGGAACTCACCATTTTAGGACTTTACTATCATTCTTTTTCATATACTAATTTTAAAAGTTTCCAAGCTACTATTTAACATTTATCCAATTTTGAGAGACAGAGACAGAGCACAAGTGAGGGTGGGGCAGACAGAGAAAGGGAGACACAGAATCCGAAGCAGGCTCTGAGTTGTCAGCACAGAGACCGATGCAGGGCTCGAACTCACAAACCATGAGATCATGACCTCAGCTGAAGCTGGACGCTTAACTGACTGAGCCACTTAGGAGCCCCCCCAAGCTACTGTTTAATTAAATTATAGTTAAAGAGTTTAAACAAACTATCTTTTGTAACTCTATCCCTGCATAGGAACTTCAGTATTTATCTGGTCAAGTGTGGGGGCACCTGAGTGGCTCAGTCAGTTAAGCATCTGACTCTTGGGTTTCGGTTCAGGTCATAGTCTCACGGTTCGTGGGTTCAAGCCTCGCATCAGGCTCTGTGTTGATGGTATAGAGCCTGCTTGGGATTCTGTCCCCCTGTCGCTCTGCCCTTCCCCTGCTTGCTCTCTCTCTCTCTCAAAAATAAATATTATCTGGTCAAGCATGTCTCAATGTGTGGTCTGAGTTGTAAGAAGAGGCACAATGCAGATTCTTGGGCCGCGTGAAATCCGAACACCTACAGAAGGGGTTCACGAACTCACACTTTAATAAGTTCAACCAGTGATTCCTAAGCCCATTAAGGTTTGATATCAACACTCAATCTCAGTGCTCTTGGCTTCCACAGCAGTATGTGGGTTAAAGCTGTACACATAACCCCAAACCTGTACACCTAGCAAGCTGAGAAGTACTTGACACCACAGGTGGTGATAAAAGGGCAAGAGCGAGCAAGCAAGATCAGAAATGAATCTTTTAGGTAACAGTGATTGAAATAAATCATTGTGAAACTTAACACATACAGACAGTGCTTTTAAAAGTTACATATACAAAAATCTGTTACATTTATACCATTTACCGACGTTGTCCGGTATACTGTTCGTTTTCAATACTGAATAACATCCACTGAATGAAGGGATCACAGCTCTTTATCCATAGGTGGTTAGTTGTTGTTGTTTTAACAAAGTCCAGTGTCCTAATTCAGTTTTTAAGAACCTAATGAGCAAATAAATGCCAGGGCCACGAGGAGCCCTTCATACGGATTTCATTCCATCAGCACACCACGGAAGACAGGCCTTGCTAGTTTCATCTTTCGGATGAGGAGACAGGGGCCAAGAGTTAAGAAACTACCCAGTGTCACACGTCATCTGGTGACAGAGCTGCTGGCTACATCTTTGTGGCTCCAGGTCCCACATTCTCCATCCCTATATACTGCAGTGGCCCCTTCCACAGGAGCCTAAGCTCAATCCAACTCTAAAGGTCAGCATCTTCTGAGAAATGTCCTGTGACGCTGGTTTACATACTTACACAACATAGCTTTTGCAGTTCAGGGGAGCCACTCAGAAGTCTGGGAGTCAAAATTTTACAGGACTTTGTGCCTCCTTAATTGCAGTTTATTCTATGAAAGGAATCCTAGCGGAGACTGTCAGAGCACACACACTCCCTTCGGTTTCAATATTAAGCATAGCTAAGACGGACGGAAATGCCACGTGAGTCTAGGTACAGCACACCTCTGCAGTCCCGCCCCCCAGGCTGCCGCATACACATTCAGGGGCTCTGGAACTGTGGGTGGGGGTAAAAACACCTCTATTTCACTAACTTCTTTTTTTTTTTCTTTTGAGAGAGAGCGTGCGCGAGAGTGAGCCTGGGAGGGGCAGAGGAAGAAAGAGAGATTCTTAAACAGGCTCTGCGCTCAACATGGAGTCCAACACAGGCTCTATCCCATGACGCCGGGATCAAGACCCGACCTGAAATCGAGAATCGGACACTCAACCAGACTGACCCAGGCGCCCCCATTTCACTAACTTATAACTGAAATGCACTTTCCTTCAATTACAGACATTAACAGCACACCATTCGTACTTGTGACTTTGTCACAAATGAAAACTCAGCCACTTTCAGATCGCTACTACAGTTTAACCTCATTTATGTCCATCGCTATTTCAGAACCGTGGTGTCTAGGTGTTACACCTGCGGCTGGACCTTGGCATTTATTTACTGTCCCAGTAAAAGAGGACCACATAGTCACAGCAAAATTTGTTGTAGTATTTTGTGAATGCTATTTTAATATTTTACGTTTCCTTCGTGATCCTATATGCTTTACTCTGTAGATAGAAACGGAAAACCTTTATTCTGGACAGAATTCAAAGCCTTCACCAAGCTGCCAAGTCTGAGCACAAGAAAAGGTTAATCTCTTACCCAATATGCTAGGAGGCCCACGTGCCACGTAACGAGGACAATGAACTACGGGATCCAGATCCGGTCTTCTCAATTATGCTGTTTGATTCAATTTTGGAATGAGATATATCCTCTCACATCAAAGCTTCCCAAAACAATATAAATTACTCACGCCATAGGGGCGCCTGGGTGGCTCCGTCAGTTAAGGGTCCGACTTCGGCTCAGATCATGATCTCACCACTCGTGTTTGAGCCCCACATTGGGCTCTGTGCTGACAGCTCAGAGCCTGGAGCCTACTTTGGATTCTGTGTCTCCCCTCTCTCTCTGCCCCTCCCCTACTCGCACTCTCTCTTTCAAAAATGAATAAATGTCAAAAAATTTTTTTTAAAAATTTAAAAAGTAAATTACTCATGCCATAAATGATTTAAAAAAAAGCAAACTTGCAAAAACTGCATACAGAGGCACTCAGCAGTATAAACAGTTCGTACAATTACAATCTGTACATTTACTAATACAAATACAAATGAACAAATCCGTACAGAATTTTCATTTGGGTCTAACAAACAAAAAACAAAGAGAAGCTTTTTTAAAAAAATGATAAAGGCATTAGGATGAACAGTATTCACAAGGTGGTAACATAAATTTTTAAGCAGAGGGTTTTACCTTCATTTGCTACACTCAACATTAAGTGAAACAGTCCACGAGGACCAGTCTGGAATTTCCAAAACTCAGTTTCATGGTCTTGCAGAGAAAATAATTAAAGCAACAAAAGGAAACCTCTCATCAGGCATACTCTAAGTGCAGCCAGTCGGGTAAGAAGAATTTGTAACAATTTCATTCACTGCCCCCTACTTGAGCTTAGGGGACAGAGCCCGCATCTGAAAGGACTTTCTGGACCTCAGATCACCGCCCAGTTCGCCTGCAGACACAGCCGGCTGGGGCTCAGGCTCCCCAGGCTTCAGCGTGCCCACGGGCCGGCCAGTTTACAGAAGCCACAGCCTCGCGTGCATTTTGCAGTTTCCATTACTCTGCCTCTACACTCCTCTTTGCTGGGTTTTTGTTTTGTTTGCATTATACCTTTAACTACATAGACAATTAGTGCAATACTGTATTTTGACTATATATGTGATTGTGCACCATTAATTTCAATGACGATGCTGTCTTTACTCCACAAGGGTTTTTCCCAGCAATGCAGGTAAGGCAAGAGAGGAATTTTTAAAGTAAGCTAGGTTTTTAAAATTACATATTTCTGGAAGCCGCTCTCTTCAAGAAACAGAATGGAACCAATCAGTAGTGTTTCCCTTTCCCGCGCCCGATATTCTTTCAGCATAAAGGAGTTTCCCTTCCATCCAGACCCTACTTATCTCATTACAGAGATACAGCTTCTTAAAATTATAAGCATTTTAATTTTTAAAAATTTTCTTTCTTCTTTCTTGAAACAATTAACTACTTACTTCAACCATCCCCTTCCCCCAATAGACTCAATTTCCATGGCCTGTAACAGACGATACTTCATGGAATCTCCCAGTTCCCTCTCTCCATCTTTTAAACAAGCAGTACACTAGATACACTAGCTGACTGGACAGAATCACATTTTTACATAATATTCCTAATTTTATAAAGTACCATAAATAATCCACAAGTGCTGTATACTCACCACGGAGCATAGAACTCTACAAGCCACAAACTATCACTCTGAATAACTTCTCGGTTGAAATTTGATGGAGTTAATTCAATTACATCGTCACCGGAGGAATAGAGACCATCCGCTGCTAGGAAGAAGGTACAGCTGATCAGACCTGCAGACAAAAAGCGTACCATTAACCAAAGGATCCACGCTCTGGCAGGAGACTCAGGCAACTGGAGTCCTCTTCAATTGTGCCAAAGGTCCTTCACTCAGGTGGACGACCTGGGTCGGGCCCTTTCCAGCCCCCAGTGTCCCTGCCCCTGGCTGCTGCGGCGGCCCCTAGAATTTCACCCCCACTGGTGCTGCGCAGAGCAAGCAGGAAAGAGTCCACGCACTCATCTCATGATCCACCAACGGAAAAAGATTTCTTACTCAGGTGCTTTTTATGTACTGACATTTTCATTCTTTACAATCACCTTGTGAAGTAACACTATTAGTACCATTGGGAGACACCGAAAAATTGGGAGGCTACCCTGTGAACCCAAGCGATCCGCATGGCCTTTATTTTTTGTATTATTCAGTTGCAATATTAGCACACTATCTTTTTTTTAAATGTCTGTTTTTGAGCGAGAGAGCACACGGGCAGGGGAGGGGCAGAGAGAGAAGGGAACAGAGGATCTGAAGCGGGCTCCACAATGACAGCAGTGAGCCTGACGTGGGGCTTGAACTCATGAACCAGAAGACCATGGCGCGAACTAAGTCAGACGCCAACCGCCAGGCTCCCCAGTACAGTATCTTTATTAAATTTCCTCTGAAGGAAAAAGTAATTATTTGTCTCATCTACTAAACTGGGACTCTATCAAGGGCAATAACTGTTTTTATAAATATTTTTACTTCTACTCCCACTGTTTATGGCTGTCACCAGACACTTGCAATGCTGCTGGGTGAGCTTACAAAGAATTTTCATCTAAATGTTACAGAATAAGGATAGAGGGATAACGCCTTATTAATAGCATAGCTAGGCCACACTGTGGACCAGATGCCTTTGTGGTGGCTACTCTAGGAACTTAAAACGGAATTGTTAACAAATACACAGGAAAACAAGTTCCGAATGGACTTAGAAAGATCTTAAAAACCCAAACGTTTTTGAAGTGGTGGTACTATCAAAATTCCACCTCCTCCCTGTAAACACATGATTTCTTTGTGTTTTCTAACTGCACTGTCTAACACCTCCAGCACGATGCTAAGGAATGGGCTGTTCTGGACTTCAATATTTTCTCATTTGCTGGCTTTTGGGTTGAAAGAGATAAACTTTAGGATATTAAAGAAATTTCTACCTATTTCTTTTTAGCATCTGTGGAGATGATCCTATATTTTCTTTTAATCTACTGATACAGCAAACTGTGAGGCTGGCCTGTCCCCTAAGGCAGTGTGCATGTGCGCTGCTGTGGTCACATGCTTACCCTGGAGAGGGAATCTGGAAGATTTCAAATGGAACCTTTTTGAATAACCCAAAGGTAAATTTCTTCTGGAAGGAATGTAACCAGTGTTAAATCTAGTCTGATGCTAAATCTTCCACCTTATGCTTATGGAACCACTTTCAATTTTCAAACCACTCCAAATATACTAGACCACTTGGGTTTCCACAGCATTACTAAGAGCAGGACTCGCCCCTCTTTGTAAATAAGGAAACAAAGGCACTTCCGAGTGGCCCATCTGCTGTCTCTAACGTCTATTTCCAAGCTCTTCCCATTAAACCATGTTGTGTTTTTAGTGCTCAGGACAAAATGGTTCAGTATGTCACGGGCATGAATAAACAACGTAACTCTGCTGTTCAAGAACACTGCCTTCGATTTACAGATACGGCTAATGTTGCAGGAACTTCTGAAACAGAACTGTGGACTTTGATAAGGGGGACATGAAGCCAGTAAACGGCTACCACACGGGGGTAGGACCAGACTTGCTTTCTAGAAAGAGCACTCGGGCTGCAATGTGGACAGCGGATGGGGGATCTCAGGAGAGTGGGGTGCCACCTAAGCTGAGGGAGCGATGGAATGGCCAACGGGAACACACGGCCCTGGGAGGCCAAGCAGGCGGCGGACTTCCTTGGAGTTCCTGGAGAGCTCCTGGAGAGCGCCCCAGGGCCCGGGGCGGCCGTGCGGGGTCGTGACAACAGGCGGCGGCCAGCCTGCAAAAGACCGGGGAGGGTAGGAGGGAACAAGTTCGTGAAAAGGGAGCTCTTTAACAAGTTCACTACCAAGAGCACAGACAGCAAGCAAATGTGGGGCAGAAGGAAGCGTTCTTTTTAAAGATGAGAGTGATCTGAGCACGAAGGGAAAAAAGTCTGTGGAGTGGGAGAGGCTAAAGGTAAAGTAGAGGAATAATGAAACAAAAAGGCCTGGAATCGGGAAGGGAGGGAACCCAGAATCAGGGCAGGGGTAGCCCGGGGCAGGGTGATCTCCTTTCCCCGTTGAGGTGGGAAATGCGCCTGTGGTGGGGGTCAGGCCAACCAAACTGGGGTGCTCTTCGTAACTGTGCTGCTGTCCCATATGGCGGCCACTCACCATGCGTGGGCAACCCAACATGTAGTGACGGTATAAGAAGTGCTAAATTTTAACGACTTGGTAGGGGGAAATAAGAGGTACCTGTTAATATTTTTGATATTGATTACATACTAAATTAATATTTTAGATACACTGAGGGAATAAATATATTAAAATTAATTTCACCTGTTTCTTCTTGCCTTTTTAAATGCGGCTATGAGAATATTTAAAATTAGATATATAATTTGCATATCTCTACTGGCTTGTGCTGCTTGATAATCTTTTTGCTGCTGCAATAAAGGTTAAAGGGAGTTTGACAGAGTTAACATATCAAGTAAATTAAGAACCCAAGCAGAGACCATACTAATTCTGAATACGCTTTCAAGTTAAGACTGGGCCTGGAAACTCCTCCGCAGAGATCTGCTTTCTAAAGTTTATTTCCTGTCAAATCAACATGAGTCAATACTTGTTCAATACACTGAGCTCACTGTGAAATTTTCAAAAATGGAAAAGCAAATGAAACCCCATCAACGGTAGGGTTGATTAATATTTTGGTGATATTCTTAGGGACATCTCTTGCTATTCGGAAGTCTAAAACTTTATTAATAGATTTATATGCAAGTGATCTTACTATACATTCTTTTCTGTAGCCTTTTTTCCCCACTCAAAATAAGTTTTCTACATACTTAAGGATTACTTATTAGCCCCATATAACCATATAATGGCTATTTCACACTGCCGATCCACCACTGACAGAATTTCTTTCCAATTTTTCACTACTAACACGCCAATGTTGAAAATTCTTACACTACCCCCTCCCCCACGGATAAATATGAGTATCTCTTTCAGGGACAATTTTACAAAGGGGTTGGAGGTCTAGTACAGCTAACATTTTGATCCATCTATCTATCCAACCACCCTCCAGAAACTGACATGTTAACTAAGAATAACACTTAAATGATATTACACACCAGGCCCTGTTGTAAACACTTAAGATATAGTAACTCATCTTAAGAGCTCTACATGGTATGTATGTATCATCGTGCCCATTTTTAGACCTGGAAATGGAGCCACAGAAAGGGTAAGTTGCCTAAGGCCACAGAATTAGAAAGAGATAGAACACGGTTATGCAACCCACATTTTTAACCAAAGGGCTGGAGCCCGCATTAGTATAATCCCAAGGAGGGTCATTAGGTAGATTGTGCAGGAGAATCAGGTTCACTGCATTCTCTTGCCAATCAGGGACTGGAGGGTGAAGTCACCAAGGGATGGACCTGGACAGTGACTTTATCCTCAGGAATGTGCTTCCTTTACATACAAAGATGGTGGTGACTCTACCTGCACTCAGTGTAACAGAGACCTGGGCTGCTTTTTTTTCCTAGTAATGTGCTAGACTTTTTGTCTTTAAATTTTTTTAATGTTTTTATTCATTTTTGAGAGAGAGAGAGAGAGAAAGAGACAGAGAGATAGCATGAGTGGGGGAGGGGCAGATAAAGAGAGAGCAAGACACAGAATCCGAAGGAGGCTCCGGGCTCCGAGCTGTCAGCACAGAGCCCGACGCGGGGCTCGAACCCACGAACCATGAGATCATGACCTGAGCTGAAGTCTGGACACTTAACCAACCGAGACACCCAGGAGCCCCGACTTTTTGTCTTTAAGTTTTGCCGATTTCTCACAAGAGCCTCCCCTCCCTTATCAACGGCTCTCCAATGGAAATGTCTTGATAAAGACTGGAGACCTGCATTCCTTAGGCAGCAGTATGACCTCCTAAGGCTGGAAAGAAATCAAACGATGCTGCTTAGAAAAACAGACTGAAAGATGTTAACTATCCCCTATGAAAACCCTCAAGAAGACAAGCAAAAAAACTCTGGGCCACTTAAGATGATAAACTAGGTCAATGCCGACTAATAGTCTTCTGTTTCTAAAATTCACATCGCGGTTCCGCTCACTGATAATGAGCACCAGTGGGAAACTGGAACATCCGAGGGTCTAGAATCTATGTGAGCAGACGGTTTTGCCATCTGTGGCTCCCCATTATTCCTCCACGGTAGCTAAGGACGTTATAAATCCACAGTAACATCCCCGTCCCACACCGGCTAGGAAGACTGCGGGATCCCAAAGCACTCAGCTAAAAACCAGGAGGGCTCCCACAAAGGTCTGACCACATTTATTCAAATAATGAGTTAACCGATAGCATCACAATCACGGACTCTTCGGAGCCCAGTGTGAATTCACCCGGGGGAAACGGAACAGAGACTAGACTTTTCCCCCTCCTCTATATCCTATATTAGTACCGCAAATATTTACATCTTGCTTACTCTCGTGAGAGCTACATGAACGCGTGCATCCCGAGAACAAGCCGGGGCGGGAGGACCGGCCCAGCGTGGTTAAGTCACCAGCTCGCAGTCACCCAGCTAAGAAATGCGGGGGAGGGAGGGCTGGGCTCAAACTCTGCGGGTCTGGATCCGGAGCGTTCAGGGGAGGAAGGGAAGAGCGCCTCGGCTGGGACCACCAAGGCGAGCCAGAAAAGGCTGGGGATCCTCAACCTCACTCACTATAGCTTCTAAAACAGGAATTTACGTAATTCATGGTAGTCCGCCTTCCATTTAGTTTCTAGAAGTTCGGTCACATTTAAAGTGCGTTCGGAAGGCACCGCTCCCTTCCTCAGGCGACTCTTTGGCCGTTTTCCGGGGCCGGGTTTGGGGATTTCAGGTTTTCTCCTGAGGGGGAATGGCATTAAACAGGTGGCGAGGACGGGCTGCGGGGTGAGGAGCCCGTGGCCGTGCCGTCCGCACGCGACGGAGAAGACGGCGGGCCCAGAACCAGGGAAGCCGGACCCTGACCCTCTCAGGTCGCCCCCGGCCCCAGCTCCGCCGGGGATCAGGTTCTGGCTGCTCGGCGCGCCTCGATCGCAGCTCCCGGCCCTCGCCCGACCCGCCGCCGCCGCCGCCCTCCTCGGCCCGGGGCTCCCCGACCCCGCCGCGCTCGAACCCCCGGACGCGCCGCACGCGCCCCGAGACCCGCAGGGCCCCGCACCCCCGCGCGACGGGCGGCCCCGACCGCGTCCCCCACCCCAGCCCCGGCCCCGCCAGGCCGCACGCCTGCCGCGCCCCCGAGGCTCCCAGGCGGCCACCCGCGACGAGGAGGCCCGCGCCTACCCAGCACGAGGCGAGCCATGCCGAGCTCCCGAGCCGTCGCGCAGTCCCGCCGTCGCCTCAGCTCCGCGCGCCGCGCCCCCGCCGCCCCACGTCCCGCCCTCGGCCCGAGAGGCAGGCGCCGGGAGGCGCGGCGGGGACGGGCCGGAAGGCGCTCGCCAAGCCGTGGCCGCGCCTCATTGGTCGCAGCAGGCTTCGCTCATTCGCGTAGCCAATGGGAGGCGGCCGGGTAGAGGTTACCGGTTTGATTTTTTTACGGAGGGCGGAGCGAGCGGCGGAAGGAGGGGCTTTCTGGGGGCGGGGCGGACCCACCTCTCCTTCCTCCGTGGCCCTCCGATTTCTCCACCCCGAACTGGGCTTTCGGTACTTTTCCCTCTCGTAGAACCGAGTGATCGGTTCTTCTTATCTCAAGGGTCTTTATTCTCTCTTTCCCTCCCTCGCCTGTAACGAGCCCCTTCGCATCCCTTACTCATCCCCCGCCCCCTCCACGCCCCACCCTCTTTGTCCCCAGGGAGGGTAACTTTGGGCGCTCAGTACATCTAAGTCCTGATTAAATCACATTTTAATTTTTCCTGTGCCTGGATGGGTACTCAACCACACGCTTGCCAATCACATACCGTGTGTACCATTATTCAACACTTCTTGGTTGGGTCGAATTACTTTCGTTAGAAGTTCCCACGTCCAGGCGTCTGACTCCAAAACTTTTTTTCAGTGATAAGACCTTGTTCTCCGTAGGAGCCCTTGGGGCTTAGGCTTCAGAGCTCCTGAGTTACAGGGTTCCCTTCCTCACTCTGGGAGAGGGCTTTGCCGCGTGATCGGTGTCACGTGTTCTGTAAAATTTGCAAAAGCGAATTATTTTAAGCATAACAGGCTAAGATAAGGCATCTTTCCCCTCTGGTTTCCCCTCCGGTGTTCGGCTTGGCCTTGAGAATTTTGTTTTTGTGTTCGTTAATGGTTTATTTCTCTGTAGTGCTTCATGCGTAAGACAGCTCTGATTCTGGCCAAAGGATTTAGGAGTACAGGGGAATCCAGAAGTGGTGATGGCCTGTAGGGAGCGCTTCCTGGAGGAAGTGGCACTAAAGCCGCGTCTGAAAGATTTGCTAGGCAAACCGGAGAAAGCCATCTAGGCACAGGAAGCAAAGGGAGCGAAGGAGATACCCGCAGGGTGAACTGACACCCAGAGGAGGAAGCTGGCAGCAAATGTCAGATGATGGGGTGGTGTTGGGGGGCTGTGTGGAAAAATTGTGAGACACCCAGACCAGTTGTGGACTGGACCCTGTGGATCCCTCGTTTTTTTCTCTGCGAGGTCTCTTTGGATTTACTGATGACAATGTAAAATCTAGGATTTGGTGTGTCAGGGTAATCCGTGGCGGCAAACAGCCCTCAAATCTGGGGGGCTTACACCATGGTGCTTTACTTCTTGCTCTCACTGGAAAGCTTTCCATTGGTGACTCCAGGATTCTGGATTCTCCCGCCTTACAATGCCACCATCATCTAAAACATGCACCCTCCGGGCAAAATTGGTTCTTGGGGGAGGGTGGTGGAGAAAACCTTAGACATTACAAGGGCCACAACACGTCAATGGGGATACAGTATATCTGTGTTTTCTAAATTTCATGGGAGAGAGAAATTTAGGAAAAGATATGTCTAAAAGTCTCCTTAGGGGAACAATAAGGAATAAACAACAGCAACAGAAAGGTGGAGAAATGCTGTTCTAGAACAGGACTGTTCAAGGGAAATATGATGTCAGCCACAACCATATACGAAATTTGCAAATTTCTAATAGCCACATTAAAAAAGTAAAAAGAACACCCTAATCTCATACAACACTGCATGTTAGCTATCCTGGAATTAAAATTAAATTAAAATTAAAATTAAGTTTTTTAAAAGTGAAAGCAAAAGTAAACCCAAAGAGATTAAATTTAATAATATAGTTTAACCCAAAATATTCCAAATGTTACCATTTCAACATGTAATTATATAAAAATGGCTAATGAGCTATTTTACCTTTTTTTCACCCATGCCAAGTCTTTGAAACCCAGAGTTTGTTTTATACTTAACAGTGTATCCAAGTTAGACTGGCCACATTTCTTTTTTTTTTTTGTCTTAAATAGTTTATTGTCAAGTCGGTTTCCATATAACACCCAGTGCTCATCCCAACAAGTGCCCTCCTCCATGCCCATCTCCCCCCTTCCCCTCCCCCACGCCCATCAGCCCTCAGTTTGTTCTCAGCATTCAAGAGTCTCTCGTGGTTTGCCTCCCTCCCTCTCCCCCACTATTTTCCCCTTCTTCTCCCCCACGTTAAATTCCTTCTAATCCGCCTATACCTGCAATCACATGGTAGCTGTCCTTCTCTGCCTGACTTATTTCACTCAGCATAACACCCTCAAGGTCCATCCACGTCGCTACACACGGCCATATTTCATTCTTTCTCATTGCCGTGTAGTATTCCATCGTATAGATAAACCACATCTTCTTGAGCCATCCGTCTGTTGATGGACACTGAGGCTCTTTCCATGATTTGGCTATAGTTGAGAGTGCTGCTATGAACATTGGGGTGCATGTGCCCCTATGCATCAGCACTCCTGTATCATTGGGTAAATCCCTAGCAGTGCTATTGCTGGGTCATAGAGGAGTTCTAGTGTTCATTTTTTGAGGAATCACCACACTGTTTTCCAGAGGGGCTGCACCAGCTTACATTCCCACCAACAGTGTAGGAGGGTTAGACTGGCCACATTTCAAGTGGCCAATAGCCACATGCAGCTAGTGGCTACTCTATTGGACAGCACAGTTCTAGAACTTCCTTAGGGTCCTTGATTGCTTCTTCTGCATGAGTGACTGAGGAGGAAGGTGGGGCTAAGGACACAGGCAGCTCTGGCCAGGCCTGCTGACATCCTTCCACTCGCATTCCATTGGCCAGAGCCAGCCGATGGCCCCAGCTTAACTGCAAGGGAGGCTGGGAAATCGCCTTCTGTCTCCAAGAAGAGAAATCACATCGGTTAGGATCATGACAATCCCTGCCGTACGTAGTATGTGCTCTGGCCTCCAAATATCTATGGTTCCTTCTCCTGCACACATGGAACACATTTAGTCTCTCCCCAAAGGAATCAACCCAATGTGTGTCCCTGTGGCCAGCTCAAAGTCCTGGGTGTCGGGGTGAAGTGTTGACTCCCCACCACCAGGTCAGGGTGTGAGTCCACATGGTGTAGGGCTCATGAACAAAGAAGAAGAGCTATTCCACCACCATCAAACTGGGAATATATGATGTTGGGACAGGGCAGGAAGATCATAACAAATGGAGAAACATAGTAGATACACCGCAGTCCATGATTCAGGGCAAATCTGAAATCCATGATAGGTGGACATTGCAAGGCTCCCAGACCGAGGAAAGACAGTCCCTCTATTAGGTTCTGATTCTGTTCTCTGAAGGGGATTCTGTGGTCTGCTTCACCCTCTGGGAGGCGTCCCCTAGTGATTAGTCTCCTACCCATCTCTCCTTGGTCGAGGATGGTGGGGGATCCTCTAGCCATCAAAACCTGTCTCTTGCCTAGGAAAGATTGGAGGTCAAAGGGTTTTGTTTTGTTTTTAAGTAGGCTTGCACACCCGCCCAGTGCGGAGCCCTATGCAGGCTTGAACTCACGACCCTGAGATCAAGACTGGGGCTGAGATCAAGAGTAGGACACTCAACCAACTGAGCTACCCAGGCGCCTCTCCAAGGGCATTTTTGGCTTTGTTTTTGCCATTTGTTTTGCTTTAAGTGAATTTTTTATTAAAATATAATATTGTTGGGACACCTAGGTGGTTCAGTCATTTACACATCTGGCTCTTGATTTCAGCTCGGGTCGGGATCCCAGGGTGGTGAGACTGAGCACCACATCAGGGTGGGAAGGGCCTATGTCATAGCCTGGAGCCTGCTTGGGATTCTCTCTCTCCTTCTCTCTTTGCCCCTCCTTCTCTCTCTCTAAAAATAAATAAACTTTAAAAATAAAATGAAGTATGACATTGTTATTGATTGAATTGTGTCTCCCCAGTGAGGACAGCTAGAAGCAGTCATCTGCAAGCCAAGGAGAGAGGTCTCCCCAGACACTAACCCTGTAGCACCTTGACCTCGGACTTCCAGCCTCCAGGGCTGTGAAACAATGCATTTCTGTTGAAATTCCCCAATCTGTGGTACTTAGGGCAGCCGGAGCCGGCTAATACAAACACACCCCTTAAACAGAGCACAGTTCTTTAAGGGTAAAAGTCCCTTGAGGACATTTCCATGAAGTGAATATCCCATTTGACCTTGCACCCCCTGCCAAAGGCCAGACACACACCTGCCTGTCAATGCTACCGGTCATTTTCAAGGCATGGCCAGTGATGGGCTGTTGGAGTTTCAAACTCATCTCCAATATGGGGCACCTGGGTGGCTCAGTCAGTTAAGTGTCTGACTTTGGCTCAGGTCATGATCTTGCAGTTCGTGGGTTCGAGCCTCGCACTGGGCTCTGTGCTGACAGCTCAGAGCCTGGACCCTGTTTCAATTCTGTGTCTCCCTCTCTCTCTCTCTCTCTCTGCCCCTCCCCCACTTCTATTCTGTCTCTCTCTCTCTCTCAAAAATAAATAAACATTGGGGCGCCTGGGTGGCTCAGCCAGTTAAGCGTCTGACTTTGGCTCAGGTCATGATCTCACTGTCCATGGGTTCGAGCCCCACATAGGGCTCTGTGCTGACAGCTCAGAGCCTGGAGCCTGCTTCAGATCCTGTGTCTCCCTCTCTCTGCCCCTCCCCTGCTCGCTCTCTGTCTCTGTCTCTCAAAATAAAATAAAGACATAAAATATTTTTTTTTTAATTTTTTTTTTAATGTTTTTTTATTTATTTCTAGGAGAGAGAGAGAGACAGCGTGAGCGGGGGAGGGTCAGAGAGAGAGGGAGTCACAGACTGAAACAGGCTCCAGGCTCCGAGCTGGCAGTCAGCACAGAGCCCGACGCGGGGCTCGAACCCACGAACCGCGAGATCATGACCCAAGCGAAAGTCGGACGCTTAACCGACCAAGCCACCCAGGCGCCCCAGACATAAAATATTTTTTAAAAAACATTAAAAATAAATAA